ACTCTAGACCCTCTCTCACAAACACACACACACGCGCGCGCGCGCACACACATACATGCCTCACCCCCCCCCCCCCAGCCCGCCCACCTGCCGCTCAAAATGGTACAGCATGAACAGCATGTCCCCATGGCTGACGCCCAGTGATGTCAGCGCAGCATTGCTGTCCGGCAGAAGGCTGTTAGGTCGGGGGTGGAGAGGGAGCGGCGGCAGCGTGTAAAAGTGGGGGCAGGCGAGGAGACGTGTCGGCCACAGGCATCCATCCGCACCCACATAAAGCGGCGGGCTCCCCTTTCCAGCAGTCAACGTCCAAAGCGGCTGCTGCCTGTAGCCCCTAGTTGCAAGAGGCGCGGACAAGGCGAGCAGCGCCCGCAGCAAGTCAACATACCAACTCGCGCCGCCGTTTGAGCTGTAACGTCTGCAGTCGCTGCGACCGCCCGCGGGCACGAGCCCCTCAACACCCCGCCGCCCCCGCCCACCTGATGCCGTCGAGCGCCCCCTTGGCCGTGAGCAGCTGCGGGTCCCAGGACAGGGTTATGTCCTCTATGGGTATGCTGAGCTGGCTGTTGATCTGGGCCTTCAGATCCGCAACGCCCGCGCCGTCTGCAATGACGATGCGCTCCAGGCCGTCGCGCGACCGCAGCCGGATGAGCATTGCTGCTGCTGCTGCTGCTGCTGCTGCTGCTGCTGCTGCTGCTGCTGCTGCTGCTGCTGCTGCTGCTGCTCCTGCTGCTGCTGCTCCTGCCGCCGCTGGTGCCGCCGGATCCGCCCCCAGCCGCGGCTGGGCGGCTGACTGCAATGCCCTGGTGTCACGGCGGCGGCACTAGCTGCCGCGCCGCTGCCCTCACAGCCGCCAGGTCTGGCTGAAGCTGTGCGAAAGTTCCGAGGTCCTCTCGAGAAGCGCGCAAGGGTGCTGTGCGGTAATGCGTCGTACACGTCAGCACACACTGCCTGTGTGGCATGCGATATGGGTTAATTGCAAAATTCAACAGCTCCGGACGCGACCTGGTTTCGCCTGCCAGCTGTGGCGCGATTGTGTGCGCATGCAGCAAAGCGCCGCTGCGCTTGCCATGGCACCGCTCGCTCGTCAGACGTCAGATCGGCCTTGTGCTGTCGCCAGATGTTACACACATCGCGTTGCTGTCCTAGCCGGCCGCATGTGCGGCCAGCGACGCCCTCGCGCGCATGGGCGGTCCGAAGTACCTGATCACAGTATCATCCTTGTCCAACAATGGCGCGAGCTTTTGTCCTAGTGGCAATCGACAGGCACCATGCATGCAAAGGCGCAGGCGAGCACGCGGCATGATCTAGTGCTTCAGGTCATTCTGCCTCACCTTTCGGGCTTGTGCGCGTCCAATTAGACTCAGAGCATGTGAGACTTGCAGTCAACGTAGGAGAGATCGATGCCAGCACGCTCATCTAAAAAGGAGGTGCACGCTGAACACCTATGATAAGCTGTGAGCTGCCAATGAGTGAGGCCCACTGAAGGGCCGCTTCTGTTGCACCGCAGAACGTGCTCGATTGTATGTATACGTGACAGTGTTGCAGACATCTGGATGGCTCCAGCAGACGGCGTTTGTGGGCATGTGCAGCATCCTAGATACACACACCTGGATGTGGCCAGTCCACAGATTCGCCGTTGGAACAGGTGCCTGCTGTTGAGGGCCCCTGCCGAACAGATAAGGTCATACAGCGCGAGCACACAATTCTGTATGCCAATTGTATTGCCTCCTTTACCACTTCAATCTGCGGGCTGTTCACACCTTGTTGGCCTTGCCCGTGTAATCTGCAGGCTGGACCTGCATCATCATCACCCAGGGGGAGCGCTTCGGACGCCGCGTCCCAAGCCCCCAAACCTGCCAGCCTGTCAGGACCACCCGTACCTTCAGAGCGGCACAGTCCGTGGCCTACGCGCATCCTACCGCTAGCAGGCGCAGTGATGGGTGAGCGGTCAGCACACCAATCAGCTCAGAGGGCGTTGCACACCCGCAGGCCGCACCAATATCCATGGCCCCCGGCAGGACGTGAGGGCTGAGCCCCCAACCCTGATGACGACGTACAATCCAGTTGCTGCATACCGCGCGCCTGTTGCTGTCTGAGCGAAGTGAGTGACGGCGTGCTCAATTTAATGAGGGCGTGTCGGCGTGAACAGCTGAGCTCACAAAAAGCAGACCAGCAGTGCAATGCACCGCTTTCAATTACTGCTGAGTCGTCATGACCATGCCGCAGTTGAGGATTCCAGCACGCAAGCAAGAAGATGTCACAGTCTGTCATGCATTGCTGGCGGGCAGTAGTGGGCGCTGGCGCAATGCAGCCGCGACACACCGCACCCCAAGTGCTCCTGCTCGAGCAACCTCCCTTGTTTGCCACCCCTGTCGTATCTCAGCCCATGACTGAGTCAGGGCGAAAAGGCAAGGCGACCCCCATGCCTTGCACCTGCAAAATTGCAACGGACGACCGCTGCTGCCTTTCAAGCAGGTAAACACGTGGCTGCCCTCCCTTCAAACTCATGCACTGCAGTATCTTACACTGACTGTGCGCATTAGTCGGGCAACGTGTGACACAAGGTGCACCCTGCCCTCCACCGCACAGCTCAGCCAGCGTAGAGCTGCAGCAAAAGACCATGGGAGGAAAATGGAATGAATGAGACGAAGGGGTGAATTGGAGTCGGAGGGGAGCGCGTCAAGTGCAGGCCAAAGGTTCCAAGGTGGGACGAGGGGGTGAAGCAAGGGGTTGGTCGATGCGGGGGCAAAGATGGCAAGGTACGAGGCTCCTTGCTCGCTGCCCAGGTATGGCGGCGCATGCGCAGACACCAGGCGTGCAGCACGGACAAACTCAAGCTCACCGTCAAAGGTCAGCCCTAGGATCCGCAGACGTCCCCCGCTGTGATTGCGGCTGTGCACACGCGCCGACACGTGCAGCACGATTAGAAGGGGCCAGAGGTAGGTGGCGCGGCCACCCTGACTTTGTTGCATGTCAACGAGGCCGTCTAAGCCCTACCGGCCGCAACATGGGATTTGAGAGGTTGGAACGGACACATATGAGCAGCGTTGCGTGCAGGACAAGAGCAAGTCGCATGATGAAAGGGCGCGAAGCCACCGAGCGCGGGCGGGGCTGACTAGGCATCAGGCATACCAGCCGCCCATGAGGGGCATGCCTGATGAAGAGCAGCGGAGTAGGGCAGCCCTAAGGGTAACTCGCAAGCCCCTCCATGGAAGTGTATGGTACTATTCTGTGTTGCACCCCAGGCCCGCGCCATTCAAACCCATGAAAACCAACCTTGCCAGTCCCCTTTGGGTGTGCAATGTGGTGCAGTCACTCCGCTATCTTCACAGCATGATGCCACCCCGAGAGGGTATTGCGAGTGAACAGGGCGTTTCGTGTGGGGTGGGGACTGCAAGGCATTTGCGAGCGGAAGCAATAATACAAAAGTGTGGATTCAACAAAGTCACAATCAGGAATTGATGTGAATGTGGCCTTGGTCCCCTGACTGTGATGCTTCGTGGCATGTTTGACCTGATTGCAGCATTAAGGGACGAAACTCCAAACCCTAATGTCGACTGCCCGAGTGTCCTTGCCTGGTCGACCCAGGACAGCTGGGCATGATCGCCACCCTTGTGCGGTTGCATGAAGGGATGACATGGGGCAAAGCAAGCTTGGCCAATCCCCACCCAAATGACTGAGCGCTCACCTCGCTCCTGGCCTAGCTGCAGTTGCCGCACTGGCGCGCGCCAACAGAGCGGCCTGAGATATTGTGTAAGTCGTTTATTTAGGTGCCCTTGAATTGGCCCTCGCCATAGAAACAGGGCCCTCTGCGCAGCTGGGCTCCTGGCGGCACAGAGTCTTCACATTAATCATGCCGGGCGCTGCATGTGCCTTGCAGAAGACGCCCTTGGACTGGCCCTCATAATTGAAGTTGGGGCGCTTGGAGCAGCTGGGCTCCTGGCAGCGTGGGTTGACGACGTCCACCATGCCAGGTGCTGCATGTGCTTTGCAGAAGACGCCCTTGGACTGGCCCTTGTCGTTGAAGGAGGGACGCTTGGGGCAGTTGGGCTCTTTGCAGCACGCACTCTTCACGCGCACCATGCCCAGCGCAGCATGCACCTTGCAGAAGACGGGCTTGGACTGGCCCTCAAAGTTGAAGGTGGGGTGCTTGGCGCAGCTGGGCTCTTGGCAGCGCGCGCTTTTCACGTCCACCATGCCGGGCGCCGCATGCACCTTGCAAAAGACGCCCTTCGACTGGCCCTCATAGTTGAAGGACGGGATCTTGGCGCAGCTGGGATCTTGGCAGCGCGGGCTGTTCACGCGCACCATGCCAAGCGCCGCATGCACCTCACAGAAGACGCGCTTTGACTGGCCCTCGTAGTTGTAGGCGGGGTGCTTGGCACAGCCAGGCGCCTTGCAGCGCGTGCTCTTCACGTCCACCATGTCGGGCGCGGCATGTGCCTTGCAGAAGGCGCCCTTGGGCTGGCCGACGTAGTTGAAAACGGCCTGCTTGTCGCATCTAGGCTCCTGGCAGCGTGCACTCTTCACATTCACCATGCCGGGCGCTGCATGCACCTTGCAAAAGCTGCCGCCGGGATGGCCCTGGTAGTTGTAGACGGGAAACGTGGTGCAGCCAGGCGCCTTGCAGCGTGGCCTCTTCACGTCCACCATGCCGGGCGCCGCATGCACCTTGCAAAATGCGCCCTTTGACTGGCCCTCGTAGTTGAAGGCGGGCTGCTTGGTGCAGCCGGGCTCCCGGCACGCCCACACCAAGCTAGCTGCGCTGGAAGTGAAGCCAGCGATGGCGCTCAAAGCGCAGCCAGCCCCTCCCCAGGGGCAACGTGAGTGATGCACGCCCCAGGGCGTCATGCTGGGGTGGCCCAGCAGCGCCATGAGAAACGGTGGCGCGCTGCCGTTAGGCCCGGAGGTGCCCAGGAATCGCGTCCACAGTTTGCAGCCGAGCGGGCCCGAGCGCCCAGCTAGCGCCTGGCGCAACAGCTGGATGCTCATAGCGCTAGACACTCAGCCGGCTCGCGCGCACCACCACCAAATATGTGCAAGGGTGCAACCGGGGTGGGGGAAAGAGGGGGAACCCAAAGGCGGTCGCCATTCTGCAGACGGTCTGCTAGTGAAGATATGTGCTCCTTGGGTGCAGGGAGCTTGCGCCTCGCTGTAAGGTCGGCGCATCCAGGGCGAAGGGGAGGCAAGCCAGGGGCGGTGTTCGCATGCCTTTGTGGGGTGTCAGTGCACGCGTGCGTGCTGTGTATGCATGTCGCGCGTGCGTGCATGCGTCAGCATGCACGCACTCTGTGCTTGCACACGCGCGCGTGCGTGTGTGTGTGTGCGTGTGTGTGTGTGTGTGTGTGTGTGTGTGTGTGTGTGCGCGCGCGCGCGTGCGCACGAGCGCGCGAGCACGCCTGCGTGCATGCAAATATTTGTCTGTTTGGTTGAGGGCAAGTGTGATTTGGATTGGTGCGGAGCGCCCAGCCAAGGGCAGCCCGGCCCTCCTTGTTATTCCCCCTGTGGCCCCCCTTATGTTGCGGCGCAGGCGCACCCGCAAGTGGCGTGTGCCGCCAGCGACGTCGTGTGCACTACGTATACGTAGCCCGCTGCACAGCTGTTGGCACGCCCTCGAAGGGACCGCGACGCCTGCAGACGACACCAAAGCTGGGTTTCGGTTTCAACACCGAAGACAGCCGCCACTGCTGCTGACACAGCTGCTGACGCAGAGCCCACTTGTACTCAGGATGGGCCCTCACTCTGGACGTGTACAGCAAACGGTAGGTGGGGCCAGGTATGGATGTGAAGCGGATGGATGCAGCTGTTGCTGATGCAGCCCGGTCCACCACTGCTGCCAATGCTCGTTCTGATGCGTGTGGGGTGACGCACACCTGCACTCCCGGGTACAGCAGCCCAAGTGCCGATGCGGGTTGCGTTCTTCACCGACTCTCAAGATATTGCCATAAATCCATCAATCGCTGCAAGGTGGACGGGCAGATCCAGTTGATCGATCTCTCCGACGCTGTCACGGTACTATACCAGTGGTCGTTGTATAAAACAGGGTCCCAAACAAGCAATATAAACATGCCGCTACTGGAAGCCCGTCTTCGGCTTAGTGTGCATGCTGCCGCGTGAGCTCGGCACCGGCGGCAGGTGGCTGGAGAGCGAGCAATGCTGCATGCGCTTGCGGAAAGAGCAGCCGGTTTCAATGGCTTCGCACATTGGATGGTTCCCGGGCCACATGGCCAAAGCCACGTGGGGAGCTGCAGCGCATGCTGAAGCAGGTTGACTGCGTGCTGGAGGTCAGAGATGCGAGGGCGGGTGCGCAGCCGCTCAGGGGCGGGAGCGTCTCAGATCTTGGTGTCGGTGCTGCAAGACTGCGGCACCTCCGCCGGCGCGACGCTTGCAAGCAAGAGGTTGTCAAAGCCTGTCATGCGTGTCTGGCGAGCAGAAGAGGGCGCTGGCGTGTCGTTTCCACAACACACCGCACTCCCAAGTGCCCCTTTTTGCCACCAATGTTGTTACTCAGCTCATGACCAGAGTCAGGGCAACATGCCCACGTGCCCGCCTTGCTCCTCTCGAAACGTAGCGACCGCTGTTGTTTTTCAAGCAAACACTTGTGGCTACCCTTGTGCTCAACTCCCCAGTAAACGGATCTTACACTGCTTTGACCGATGGGCAACCTGTGCATGGGAACCTACAGAATGTCTAGCTTGATGAGGTGCGCGCATCTCCTCCAGCGTGCAGATGTGGCAGACGGCCAGGGAAGGGTGATGGATTGAATGATACAAAGATGTGAACTGGCTTCAGAGTCTCCTGAGGAGATTGCGTCAAGTGTGGGCCAAAGGTTTGAAGGTAGGAGGAGGGGTGTCAAGCAAGGGGTTTGATTAATCAGTAAAATGCAGGGGCAAGATTGCAAGGTAGGAGGCTCCTCGCTGCCCATGTATGGCATTGCATGCGCAGATGCCTGTCAGACCTACAGCACAGACAAAGTCCAGCTCACCGTTGAAGGTCAGCCGTTGAAGGCAGAGGACTCATGGACGTCCCCCGCCGTGATTGCGGCTGTGCCCACGCATCAGCACGCCAATCACAATGAGAAGGGACCAGGGGTGGGTGGCGCGGCCACCCTGGTTTTGGTGCATGTTGATGAAGCCATCTAAGGCCTACTGGATGCAGGACAACAGCGATTATGAGAGGTTGGAATGGTTCGAAGTGCACAATAATGCTTTGAGGACGAAGAAAGATGCACGGCGACAAGGGCGCGAGAGCAACGAGAACGCGCAGGGCTGCCTGGGCATCAGGCATACCAGCCGCCCACGAAGGGCATGCCTGGTGGAGAGCGGTGGAGTAGGGCAGCCCTAGGGGCGCCTTGCAAGCCCCCACATGGCAAGTGTATGGTACTACCGTATTCTGTACAACATTCCAGGCCCGAAGCCCCATTCAAACGCATCAAAACAGACCTTGTAGGTTTTGTTTGGGTACGCAAAGTGGTGCAGTCGCTCCGGTATCTTCATAGCATGATGCCACCCTGATTGGGTATTGTGAGCGCACAGAGCATTCGTGTGAGGTGCGGACTGGAGGGCATTTGTGAGCAGCAGCAGTGACGCAACTGAGTGGTTTCAATATTGTCACATGCAGAAATCGACTAAAATGTGGCAAAGGTCCCGTGACTGTGATGCTTCGTGGCATGCTTGACCTCATTGCATCATTCGGGGAACTATGTCGAATGCAAGAGCGTCCTTGTCCCGCCGACCAAGGACAGCTGGGCATGATCGCCACCCTTGTGTGATTGCATGCAGGAACAACGTGGGACAAAGCAAGCTGGACCAATCCCCACCCACATTACGCCGAGCGCTCACCTCGCTCCTGGCCGAGTTGCGGTTGCTGCACCCGCACAAATGCCGCCAGGTCGGGCTGTACTGTGTGTGTTTCGTTTTGACAAGTGGTGCCCTTGGACTGGCCATCGCAGTAGAAACAGGGCCCTTGTCGCAGCTTCGCTCCTAGCAGCGCCGGGTCTTCACGTTAATAATGCCGGGCACCGCGTGCGCCTTGCAATAGATGCCCTTGGAGTGGCCCTTGTCGTTGAAGTTGGGTTGCTTGATGCAGCGGGGCGCCTGGCAGCGCGGGGTCTTCACGTCCACCATGCCAGGCGCCGCATGCGCCTTGCAATAGATGCCCTTGGAGTGGCCCCCGTCGTTGAAGTTGGGTTGCTTGATGCAGCGGGGCGCCTGGCATCGCGGGCTCTTCACGTCCACCATGCCAGGCGCCGCATGCGCCTTGCAAACGGCGCCCTTGGACTGGCCCTCGTCGTTGAAGACGGGCTGCTTGGTGCAGCCAGGCTGCTGGCAGCGTGGGCTGTTCACGTCCACCATGCCGGGCGCCGCGTGCGCCTTGCAAAAGACGGCCTTGGACTGGCCCTCGTCGTTGAAGTTGGGTTGCTTGATGCAGCCGGGCGCTTGGCAGCGCCTGCCCAACAGGAGCACCATGCCGAGCGCCGCATGTGCCTTGCAATAGATGCCCTTGGACTGGCCCTCGTAGTTGAAGGCGGGGTGCTTGGTGCAGCCGGCTGCCCGGCATCGCGGGCTCTTCACGTCCACCATGCCAGGCGCCGCATGCGCCTTGCAAAAGGCGCCCATGGACTGGCCCTCGTCGTTGAAGACGGGCTGCTTGGTGCAGCCAGGCTGCTGGCAGCGCGGGCTTACGACGTCCACCATCCCGGGCGCCGCATGCGCCTTGCAAAATGCGCCCTTAGACTGGCCCTCGTAGTTGAAGGCCGGGCGCTTGGCACAGTCGGGCTCCCAGCACTTGCGCACCCAGCTAGCTGCGCCAGAGTTGAAGCCAGCCATGGCGCTCGCAGCGCAGCCGCCCCTTTTACAAGGGAAAACCGACTTATGCGCGCCCCAGGGCGTCATGCTGGGGTGGCCCGGCAGCGCGATGGCAAATGGTGGCGCGCCACAGGTGGAACCGGAGGTGCCCAAAACATGGGTCCACATTTTGGAGCCCAGGCGGCCCGAGCGCCCAGCTAGCATGTGGCGCAACAGCTGGACGCTCATAGCGCTATACACTCAGCATGCTCGCGTGCTCCACCACCAAAGATCTGCAAGGGTGCGACCGGGGTGGGAGGAAGAGGGGGGGGCCAAAGGCGGTCGCCATTCTGCAGACGGCCTGCTGGTGAAGGCGTGTGCTCTTTGGTGCAGTGAGCACGCACCTCGTTGTGAGGTCGGCGCGTCCAGGGCGAAGTGGGAGGCAAGCCAGGGGCGGTGTGCGCATGGGTCTGTGGTATGTGCGTGCATGCGTGCGTGATGTGCATGCATGCATGCCACGCGCGTGTGCGTGCCTCAGCACGCGCGCGCTGTGTGCATGCGCGCGCATGCGTGTGTGTGTGTGTGTGTGTGTGTGTGTGTGTGTGTGTGTGTGTGCGTGCGTGCGTGCGCGTGCACGAGTACGCGCCGGCATGCACGCCTGTTTTCGTCCGTTTGGGTGTGGGCGAGCGCGAGTTGGATTGCTGTACAGCGCTCAGCCGGTGGCAGCCTGGCCCTCCTTGTCTCGCCCCTCCCCCCGCCCCGCAGGTAGCCCCCCCTTGTGTTGCGGCACAGGCGCACCCGTAATTGTGCCGCCAGCAAAGTTGCTATGTGCCAGTACTTGGCCCTGCTGCTACACAGGTGTTGCACGACCTCAACGGGACCGCGACGCCTGCAGGCGACGCCAAAGCTGGGCTTCGGGGCCAACACCGCGGACAACGCGACTGCTGCTGACACAGCTGCTGTAGGAGAGCCCACTTGTACTCAGGATGGGCTCACTCTGAACATGGACAGTTATCATGAAGGTGGGTGGGGGCGGATGTGGCTGGGAAGCGGACGGGTGCAGAGAACTGCTGTTGATGCATCCTGGTCCACCACTGCGGCCGGTGCGTGTTCTGATGCTTGAAGGATGCTCACCTGCACTCCCAGCTACAGCAGCCCAAGTGCCCATGCGGGTTGCGCTCTTCAATTGCTTTCATACGATTGCTTCAAGATCCATCAAACGCTGCAAAGCGGGCGTGATCCAGTTGATCTCTCTTACGAAGTTATTGTAGCTTACAGGTTGTTTCAATCAAAGTGTGACTCACGAGATATGAACATACCGCTACCGCAAGCCCATCTTTGATATAGTGTGGATGCTACTGCGGGAGCTCGGCACCGGCGGCAGCTGGCTGAAGAGCGAGCGACGCTGCATGCTGCGCTGCCGCTTGCGGCAAAAGCACGCCGGCTCCAATGGCTTCGCGCATCGGATGGTTCCCGGGCCACATGGCCAAAGCCACACGGGAGCTGCAGCGCGTGCTGAAGCAGGTTGACTGCGTGCTGGAGGTCAGAGATGCGAGGGTGGGTGCACAGCCGCTCAGGGGCGAGAGCGTCTCAGATCTTGGTGGGCGGTGCTGCATGACTGCAGCACCTCCGCCGCCGCGACGCTCCCTTGCTGACGGACGACAGTTGCTCGTCTGCAGCTGCTGCCCCCCTGCGTGTGTGCTTGATGTGAGCCCTCTGCAGCCAGCTGCCCTGTGCGTTGACACACCCGCCCCGCACCCGCTTGCCCGCCTGTCCTTCCACCCGGCAGCTGCCCTTCTCCTCAGCAAACCCAGATCTGGCCCGCCTCATTGCAGAAAAGCGCCGCATCATAATTCTTAACAAATCAGACTTGGCAAATCCCAAGTGCAGCCAGGCGGCGCTGCGGAGACTCAATGGCGGCGTCGGCGGCCAAGCAGGCATCACCAGCAACAGCACAGATAGCAGCAGCAGCAGCAGCAGCAGCAGCAGCAGCAGCAGCAGCAGCAGTGAAAGCAGCAGCAGTAGCAGCAGCAGCGACAGCAACAGCAGCATAGGCAGCACAGCTGGTATCGGCGGAGGCGGGGGCGTCAGTGCTGTGTCGGCGGCGGCGCCGGCGCTCCTGACCTGTGCCCACCAGTCAAAATCTGTGCGGCAGGCGAGCACCGGGGGGAGCGCCCCGCCGCGCCCCGACCCACCCATGCTGTTGCTTGCTGCCCTGATGCCCCTCCACGCTCCCATCGATGTGTTGTCGCGTCGTCCTCTCGTGCTCTGAATACGATCGACTGACAGCCGCCCGCTTTGATTGTGGCCCCCAACCCCAGCTGATGGCCACCGCGCTGGGCTGGCTACCGGCCGAGGGGCGCGGCTCAGAGATGGCGCTTATGATGGTGGCAGGGTGGGTGCACCCGCCCTGCGCCTGCGATTCCAGGCGTGCTCGCGCTGCCCTCTGCGCGTTTGTACCATGGCGCCATCAACCGCCGCCTGGTTTGCCAGCCGCTGCTGCAATTTCGCCCGGCATGTGCCCTCCTCTTCTCACCTGTCATAGCGAAGCAGCCTTGGCACGTTCAGTCCCCTCCATTCTGTGCCTGCCCGCCTTCCAATCTCCCCTGTCTTTCAGGACGCCCAACACAGGGAAGAGCCGGCTGATCAACGCCATGAAACTCGTGTCGAAGGGCCAAGGCGCGCTTCAGGGGGTGGGGCAATGTCTCTGGGTGGGGGCGCATCCCTCAGGCCGCCCCGCCGACGCCGCGGGCCTGGTGCGAGATGCTGCTTGGCGACAGCAAGCAGCTGTTGCCGGGGCGCTCGGTTTGGAAATGCAGCATCATCAAGTAGGCATTTGCAGCGGCCTGCTCTTGCTGCTGAAGCCTACCTTAGCACCTGACTGACGGCGCCGCGCGCAGCCGTCCCCAGTCCACCAAACAAACCTCCCAGCCCGCAAACGCGCCCCCCGCCTCGTTCGGCGCGTCGCCGACCGCCCTGCGCGCAGGCGGGCTGTCCGGGAAGCAGGCGTACAACCGGCGCGCCGTCGCTGGCGACATGCCGGGGCTGACGAGGCGGGTGCAGGCTTTCCAGGTGTGTGCTCAGGCGGCATCGCGACCGCGACCCAAGAGGCACCCCCGCCCCCGCGCCCACGCTGGCAGCCGCGTCTCCCCCTTGGCGTATGTGTCCCAAGGCCTGTTCACTGCAGTGGCTTGTTGGGCGGTGTGACGTGTGGGCGGCGCTTGCACAGTCTTAAACAGCAAGCACGGATGCGCAGGCCAGTCAGCCAGCGACCCCATGCAACACGAATCGGCTGTGGGTCCTGGTCGTGGTGGCGCTCTCCGTGTTTGTATGTGTCGCCCTGATCTAAGCACGACTTTGCTGTGCTCTTTTAGATCTATAGAGCTGCCGCCCCGCCCCTACGCCAACCCACACACGCCCGCATGCATGCATGCACGCACTCATGCGGCGCATGCATGCACGCACGCACGCAAAGCATGCATGCGGCATGCAAGTTCCCCCACCCATGCACACTCAATCACACGTCGCAGTCACGCAGCCACCCTCCCCCTGCAACCTCTCGCCCCAGGTGTCTGCCGATCGCGAGGTGTACGTGCTCGACACGCCCGGCGTCATGGCGCAGAGGGTGGCCAGCATCGAGGAGGGCCTGAAGCTCTCGCTCGCAGGTGGGCGGTTGGTGGCGGTTGGTGGCAGTTGGTGGCGATAGGAAGTGTCCCGTGTGTGTTGAGGACATGCGCCCGCTGACTGGAACACTTGCGGGTGGGACTGGGATGGGGCAGCACAAATGGTAGATGGCTGGGGTTTTGTGGTTCAGTGGCTCGCGTGGGGGCTGAGCCGAATTTGCTGGACAGGCGCACGGGCGGCTTGATAGGGGGGATCAACAAGTCATTGAGATCCGCAGGCGTGTGATTGGAGGCTTTGTGAGCAGTATCCAGTAGGGTGGACGCACGGCAGCAGAGCTGGGTCACAAGTCAAGCTTAATTTGTGCCGCAGGGTGCTGCCTGGGGAGGCTGTGCAGCTGTTTTCTTCTGCAACGCTGCTTTTCCACGCACCACTACGCGTGAACGCTCTTGCCGCCTCCTATTGCGCCTGCCTGCCTTCGATCGCCTTTTGCGCCTTGCGTGCACCCACCTATAAAGTCAAAAAACTTGTGTCGCCCCGAGCCGCTTGTGTGCACCTGAACACCCGATCCCTTGACCCGACCACCGCCAGGCATCATAAAAGACAGCATTGCAGGAGAGGACCGGATCGTTGCGTTCTTGATCGAGCTGCTGCGCCGCTGCGAGCGCCACAGGCACACCCTGCAGGCGGTCGCCCGCAACCTGGCCGCCGGCAGCGGCGGCGCCGGCGAGGCCTCCGCGGCCGGCGGGCGCCAGCGGCAGCGGCGGCAGCAGGCGCCGGGCGAGGGCGCCGCTGCGGGCGGGGCGGCGCATCAGCGGAGGGTCGCGCGGATCGCGGGCGCGCTCCTGAAAGCCGTGGCCGCGGATCTGCCGCCCGCGCAGTGGCACCCCGGCTCGGAGGACGGAGAGGAGGGGCCGGCGGGCGCGGCGCAGGGGCTGGGGTCGGAGGCGCGGCGGCGGCTGGAGCTGCTGCTTGCAGGGATGGGCCTCCCAGATGACGGCGGGCGGGACGCTGAGCGGCGGCGTGCGGCGTGCATGCAGGTGCTCAAGGCGTTCAGGGCCGGGGAGCTTGGGCGGTACACGCTTGATGACGTGTAATTGTGAACGCGGATGGGTGTGTTGGGCAGTGCTGTGAATGTGGTGACCGCGTTCTCACACAGGGCGGGCGCCCTTTGCATGACAGCAGCACGACAGGAAGCCCGTGTTGACTTGCGTCACACAAACATCACTACGGTACGCAACCCCTTTTTCTCCGAAAGGGTTTCACGCATTCACCACCCTAGCGCATTCAAACGCGCTGGCGTGCGACGCACAGCGCAGTGGCCCGAGGCACCGCACGCAGCACGATGCCCAGCGTGCAACGTGCGCTCGGCGCACAGCTCGGGGCAGCACGCGCTAAAGACCAAGCACTGCAAGAAAAGCTCGCAGCGGCTCTACTTGATCTAAGAAACGCGAAATCGCGGGAAGAGGAGGCCGTCTCGGCGAGCACAGAGCTCAGATATATCAACGGCAAATTGGAGCGCGAGCTGGAGGCGGCCCAGGCGAGCACGGGCTTGTCCGGTCAGCACATGCGCCTCCGGACGCACCTGCTGCTTGTCCCGCCGGTCAACGCCGCGACCTGCCCCGCCGCGCCACATAGCCCGCCCCACACGAATGCATCATTACCCCGACAGGCGGCAGCGCGCCTCGCGGGCGAGCGCGGCGCTAGGGCCGCGCGCTCGCTGCGGCATAATCTGGATGCGCTAGAGGATGCTGTGGCGGCAAACTGCGAGCAGGGGCAGCGGCAGCTGAAGAGGCTGGTGGGCCTGCTCATACAGCTCCAGGCAGCGGTGACATCAGCACCTGAGTCATCAGCAGCCTCCCCGCTGCAGCTGCGTCCACCCCACAAAGCAGCGGCGCCTCGTGGCAGCGGAGGCACCCGGGCAGCGGGCGCCGCGCCGCCGCGTGGCGGCGGCGGCGCGGGCGGCCGCCGCGCGCTGCAGCTGCTGGCGGAGGCATTCGCGGCGACGGCGGGCGTCGGGAAGCTGCTGGCGCCGCCGGTGGTGGGGCGGGACCCCACCACTTTGCGGACCGAGGGGGCCGGACGGGGCTCCGCGGTAAGTCAAGAGGCAGCCGGCCTCAGCACATGGGACGATCCCTCCCAATCGGACGCAGCTCCTCGGGAGGACAGCGGCGGCGGCGGCGGCGGCGGCGGTGCTGCTGAGTACGCCGCCGCGTTCCACCTGCGCGCTGAGGTGGCGCTCCTCAGGTCGCGGCTGGAGGACGCCCGGTTCGAAGCCGCAGAGATGGGCCGCCGCGCCTGCCACCTCCAGGCGCGCCTGGAGGCGGCCCGGGGCGCCAGCGCCGCCGTCGAGTCCGGCGGCGCCGCGGCGGGCGAGGTGGCAGCGGGCGGCGCGTGGGGGGCGGAGGCGGCGGCGCGGGCGGCGGCAGAGGCGGCGGAGGCGGCGGCGAAGCAGGCGGAGGCGCTGGCGGCGCTATCGGAGGCGCGGGCCGATGCGGACGAGGCAAGGCAGGAGGTGCGCCGGGGGCCAGCAAAGGCTGCATGGTTGGAAGAATGCGGCGCCCACGTGTGTGTGTGTGGTTCATGCATGCATGCGTGTGTGTGTGTGTGTGTGCGCGTGCGGGCAAGCGTGTGTGGGCATGTGTTTGTGTGTGTGGATCATGCCCGAGAGATGGAGGGGTAGAGGGCAGGCAGCCCTCCGCTTATCCATCCTCAAATGCAACATATTGGTGCCAAGCCCGATGCTGCTGCAAACCACTTGCAAACCAGCGCCCGCCTACATTGATGCGCTTTCGCACGGCTTGTGTGGCGACCCGGGCAGGCGGACGAGCTGCGGCGGGCACACGCCGCCGCGCGGGCGGCTGCCGAGGCGCTGCGGCGCCGCAACGCCGCGCTGCAGCGCGCTCTGCGGGAGAGGTGCGTGGGCGCCCTCGGCGGCCGGGGCTGCTGGGATTTGCGGTTGGCGGCTGCTGGGCCCGTGGGCAAGTGCCAGCCTCAATTCCAGGATGTGTCATCTTGCCCCCTGCTGGGCCTGCTGACAATTCAAGCTCACCTCCCTAGACCTTTGTCGGGCATTCTTCTGATACACGCAAAAGCGCCTACACACACACGCGTGCGCACCCGCGCATGCACGCATGCGCGCTCTCATCCCCCGCCCGTTCACGCCAACCTGCAACCACGCTCCGCCACCTGCAGGGAGTCCGAGCTGGAGCAGTCCAGTATTTCACTCGACACTCTGCAGTCCGCCCTCGCGGGCGAGCTCCAGGACTGCCTCCGCCTGGTCTCAGCCCGCCCCACGCACGCCGCACCCGGCTGCGCCGACGGAGGCGGCGGCGCGTGCGGCTCGCCGGGCGCCGCATCGCCGCTCAGGGTGCAGCGGCCGTTCGCGGCCGCGGCGCCGGCCGCCGGGGCGTGGAGCCCGCAGCAGCACCGGTTCGCGACGGGGTCGCCGGGGCCGGGTGGGCGCGCTGCGCAGCCTCGCGCGCTGTTTGAAACGTATGGTGGTGGCGGCGGCGGCGGCGGCACGGGCGGTGGCGGGGGCGCAGCGGCGAGCGCGCATAGGGGGGACTTGGCGGCGCTCGACTCTGAGATTCTGGCGGCCGAGCGGCGGCTGCAGCAGGCAGCAGAGCGGCTCGGCGTCAGGGGCGGCGGGGGCCGCTGAGCGCGCTGCTGCAAGATCGGCTTCAACCCGGCGCCTCTGTAAGCGTCTCAGAGCACAATTCGAGCGCAGCAGGGGGTCCAATGCACCGGGGTAGGGCAGCGCTCGGGGCGAGCAGCCGCCGCCCCCAGCAGCGTGGCTGCTGCCGACGCGCATGGCGCTGGCTCTCGCCGCTGCTTTGGCCAAAGCGCTGTGTACATTTATTTGCGCGCGCCCCCGTGCAGCCCCTTTCCGGGGTCCTTGCACTCATGTGATTTTACATATGTTTTGAATTTGGGGTTTTGTACACAGCAGTTGCAAACGCAGGCAAGCGCCGTGGCTGCTGCCCCTGCGGAGGGAGAGGTGCAAGGGCACCCCCCCTCCCCCGCTTCCGCGCCACCGCCCTCGGAAAAATGTCGGCTTTTCAAACCACGATGCGCCCCCCGAAGCGCGTGCCGCCGTAGCTGGTCTTGAACATGCTCGCCAACGAGAAGACGTTGAATGCGCCTACACCCGCAAGGACCGTCACCTCCAGCACTGTGTACCACTGGTGATTGGAAGGCGGGGGGCCGGGGTCAGAGGGGTGTGCGACGTGAGACGCAGGCGTTTTAGGGCAAAGGGGCCGCGGTCGAGCGTGCCGCGAGGACGGCCGGGCGTGCGGGCGCGTGAGGGTGTGCTCGGTGCAAGGGCGAGGCGGCGCGCGCGTGGCGCGCGGCGGCCGCGCTCGGCCGGTCCCGGCGCGCATCACGCGGCTGCTGCAAGACTGGGCGGCTGAGCCGCCGCGCTGGCCTGCAAGGCTGCAGCGCATGTGCAGGCGACCCTGGCGACGCGGCGAGCGCCTCGGCCGACTCACCAGCGCGCGCCGGTTGTTGCTGTGCTGCGTTAGGCGCAAGGATTGTGGCGGCGGGGCGGGGCGCAAAGCACGGGGTTGACGTTCGGCAGGGGAGGGCCTGCGGCTTCCAGTCTTGACTTGCGCACAAAAGCCTACGACGCTGCTCGCAGATGTATCGAAACGCGAATCCCCGTTTGAAAAGGGTTTCGAAACCGTCTCTTGCCTGCTCCCATCTTGCCCGTTCGTGTGCCGATATTCGCTCAGCAACACCACACTCACAAAAGCGCACGCGCGCACACAGCCACGCACATCGTTTCATACACACACCCACGCGAGGCCGCGCAGCCCCGCGACTCACGCATGTCTGGATGTGCCTGTCCAGCTTCCGCTGCAGGTAGCGCTGCTCCCCGCTCAAAATGTCCACCAGCTCCCCCACCACCATCACGTTGCGCTTCACCTCATCCAAATGGTCCTTCTTGGCGATCTCCTTGCCCCTGAGGCGATAGGGTTCGGGTCGCCGGGGTTTAGATGGTGGTGGCGGCGGTGGGGTGCGAAACAACACTTCGAATGGTGTGGGGGCCAGGCAGCGGCGGCCGTGCGCGTGCGTGCAGCCCCTGGTAGGCAGGACCATCCCTTTGCCGCCATATGGATGCACACACCTGGTCTCGTGGCTGCCCTTAGGCACGTTGACTTGGCCAGGCCGTCTGTGTGTGTGTGTGTGTGTGTG